TTCAAAAAAAAAAAAAAAAAAAAAAAAAAAAAAAAAAGAGTACAACTCCGTGTTCTGCCTCTCCCTCAGATGATGGTAAGCTCTCATTTGAAGAGTTCCAGAATTACTTTGCTGATGGGGTTCTTAGCCCAGGGGAGCTGCGGGAGCTATTCAGCAGCATTGACGGTCATCTCACCGAGTGAGTGTGATGGGAGGGATGGCTGGGCTGTGGCCAGTGCCAGGCCAGGTTGTCCCAACTCCAGTGTGTCCCCTGCTGCCATGGTTCTTTCTGGGGGACAAGGGGGTGGGGTAGATGCCAGGGCCCAGTGCCAACTTTATACACCCACACTTGGTTTCCCAGTTCCAGCCTTATTGCTACACTGCTTTCAGCTGGGACCCCAGAATAGCCAGGCAGGCCTGAGTCACCACCCGTGCTCAGCCCTTCTGTTCCTACTTTCTACAGGAGCAGAACAGAGGATGTCTGGGGACAGCTGGGTTCTGCCTGCCCCCTGCCCACCCCATGGATGCAGGTGCAGGAACATACCTTCCCACATGTATGCACATGTATACACCTTGGCTTGTATGCATACTACCTCCCCTGCTTCTTCACTTGGGGACACACACATCATGCACATACACAGCTGCCTGTCTCCCTTCCCTTAGTTTGGGTTAAATCCCAAACTAAATCAGCATTCAGGGCCCCCAAGACTTGGGTGGTTGCCTGGAATACCTGTGCCCCCTTCCCCACAGATAATACCACAGTCAAATTCCATGTTAGGCTGAGAAGGGGGTGTGTGTCTTGGGAACATTGGCTTCTATGTCCAGTTTACCAGGTCCTAAAGAGTCTGAAGGGTGCCTTCTCTTCTCTTCTCCCCACAGCAATTTAGAAACAGAGAAACTGTGTGGTAAGTAGCCTATGGCAGCCCTTGTGTCCTGGCCCCTGGGCAGATGGGTGTGGTAAGGGACACCTGAGAGGGCTGGTCTGATGGGACAGGAGGGCTGAACAGCTGAAGAATTGCTAGGTAGTTAGAATTCCAGATTGGAGAGATGGTGGGGGCCAGAGCCCTTGAGTACCTCTTCTGCCTGCAGACTACTTTTCCAAACACCTGGGTGTCTATCGGCCTGTGTTGGCTGCGCTGGAGTCACTGAATCGTGCAGTGCTCACCGCCATGGACACCACAAAGCTGGTAAGTGCAGGGAGGGGCCCGTGGGAAAGGGGGAGGGGCACCTGAAATGACAGGGGTTTGTAGTGCAGTGTGACTGTCCTGACACGGCTCAGGGCTATGGAACTGGAGCTTGTGTTCAAATTCTAATACTCCCACTTAATGGCTATGCCCTTTACCCCCTGGGCCTCAATCTCCTCATCTGTAAACCAGGGATAATAATGAATGATTAAATGGGTCATGGTGGTTTACACTTATGTAATCTTTTAGGCCAGCCTGGGCTAGAGTGAGACCCTGTCTACAGAAAAAATAAGGAAGGCGTCTTTGGCTTTGTTCTCTGCTCAGTTCCCAGCATCCAGAACAATGTGGCAACTCAGTAGGTTTTTGTTGTTGGCCAGACATAATTGCTGGAGGCTGTCAAACCAGAACCCAGCAGGCATGGGCTAGGCATAGGGGATGTGTTCGTACATGTCCATAGGCCCCTACTGGTACATGAAGTCTATGAGGTGAGGACTGACCCCAGGACATGTAAGGAGGCAAGTATGTGTGTGCCTATCTCTGTTTGTTGGCCTACATGTACCACCTGTGTAGTGTAGTGCTGACAGTTCACTCTTAGGGACTTAAAAAAAGTCATTCCTTCTTTTGTGTGTCCCTCCTCCCCTAGTGCTGGGGTCTAAGACAGGACTGCTAGGCAAGCACTTTACCACTGAGCTACATCTTTACCTTGTATGATCCTTTTAAGAACTGTCTCTGCTAGGTATGGTGGCTCACACCTGTAATTCCAGCAATCAGGAAGAAGCAAGAGGAGCTCAAGAGTGAATCCAGCCTGGGCCATAGAGTGTGATCCTGTCTCAAAAGAAAAGGAGTCAGCTGTGGTGGCGCATGCCTTTGATCCTAGCCCTTGGGAGGCAGAGGCAGGCGGATGTCTGTGAGATCAAGGGTAGCCTGGTTTACATAGTTCCAGACTAGCTGTAGCTATAGGGAGACCCTGTCTCAAAAACAAAGGGAATGTCTCCCCGTCCCTGTGCCCATAATTCTTATACAGGGAGTGATAAACAGGCCTGGGGTTGTGCCTGACCCCACTTTGTCTTTTTGGTACTGAGGATAGAATCCAAGGCAAGTCTTCTAACCCAGCCCTCTGAGCTGGAGTTTTACAGAAGGGGAAACTGAGTCTTTTAGAGTCAAAGATCACCTGAGAACACAGCTGTGGACAGGGCTTCTGGTTGCTTTTACATGAGTTAGTTTTGCAAAGGGTTGTCCCTTGAGCCTAGCTGGACTGGCATTTTCTGAACTGGCAGTGGTCTGGGGATTCAAACTGAAGGCAAAATGAGGGTCCAATGGATCCCACCCACCTCCTGGCTAGAAAGGTAAAGAGGTGTCCCATCCCCACATAACCCTACTAGCTGCAAACACCTGAATCTATTTATCTGGTTGTTGATGCTGGGACAGAGTTGCAGCTTCTGCCCCTGCCAAGGTGGCACCATCCATTCTAGTCCAATATAACTCAATCGAAGAGTTCCCGCACCAGCCTGGAGCCACACTCCTGGTACATGGCCCGAGCATTGGAAGGAGTGTAAGGAGGCCACCATGGACCCTCCAGTCCACACAGCTGTGGCTGGCCCAGGCCTGGCCACCAGGCGGGGCTGCAGGGTCGGGTACCCGTGCCTCTGGCATTGGGCCTCCAGCTCCAGATTCATGTGCCCCGCAAAGACAGGGAAAAGTGTGGAACCACCGGCTACCACCTGTGTTGGCCAGTCGTGGGCACAGTGTTGTGGGCATCTTCTGGAACGCCTGGAAGGCCAGCGTGGGCAGTCCTGGCCCAGCTTTGTCTAGCAGACTTGGCTGGAAGATGGATTATGGGCAGCGGAAGCGCTCACTGCCGAGTTGCAGGTAGCAACCATTATCCAGACAAAAGCAGGCCTTATGGTGGCAGGAAGGGTCAGAGATATCGCCCTGGAAATCCAGCGACGCGTAGCAGCACCGCCTCTTAAGCTGTGTAATGGTCTTGCGTGGCAGTTGAAGATCCGGGCGGGCTGCTACCAGAAGGTCTCGAAAGCGGGACAGAGTGCTGCCTGCCATGTTCATATGGAAGGTGACCTTGTGCCACAAGTGACCAGCGTAGATGGGTGTGGCGTGGCACACGCCTGTGCCTGCCTCCACTGCCAGCCCACTGAACGCGCCGGTGGAGCAGAGCGCCAGCAGGGCGGTGCTGGCCATGTGGCACGCAGGCACCGCCAGGCCCTCGAACAGCAAGCAGCTCAGCCACTCTCTCTCGGCCCTCGGGTGGTGCCGATGGGGAGTCACTCACCAGCATGGGCCACTTCTCTGGGTGCACCAGCAGGCCACCCACCAGCAGGCCTTCCCACAGCCCCTCCGGCGCCTCCCAGTCCACCACCACGCGGTGCTTGATGGCGTGTGCCCGGGCCACGCCACCTGCCAGCTCGCAGCCCGGCGTACCGGGTAACACAGGCCAGTCCCAGCTGGGCATCAGACTCTTCAACAAGATACGCGGCTGGACCTCATGGGCGAAGTCCGCCTTGGTGAAACCCGAACCCTGGTCCACTACCACCGCGACGGGACCCACTGAGGGCAGCCGGCAGACTCCTCGGCTTCTGTGCACTGATGCCACCTTCAGGGCTCCGTGCCACCCCTAAGCCCTGTGGGCCTTCTGGGCGAGATAACTGTCCCTCTCAATTGTCAGCTTGGGCTTCTTGGAACTTGAGTAGCCTGCTGCTTTTGTTTGTGGCTCCGCCTTAAGACTCTGCCCTGTGTCAATCTGGATTTATATTCTTCCTTAGGGTACCAGATTCCCAGATTCCCAGCCAGTCACTTGGGCTTGGTTGAGGGTCGGAGAGGATAGTCAGAGACCTTGGATGGGCTCATCGTGACCTCAGTCCTGCAGTCCTCTCCCCTCCACCTGCTGGAGGCTAATAGTAGCTCAGCACAGCCAGTTTATTTCTCCAAAATGCTTCAGATTATCTAAGTGCTCTGGCTAGATGCCAGGCTCTTCCACTCAGTTCTAAAGACAGTGTTCCAAAGCACAGTTACTCGAGGACCTCCATGTGCTCAGCCCTGACAGGCACTCACACAGGGGTCTGGCCTGAACTTGCACTTTGGTTTTGAAGGTCATTTAGCAGTCCCTAAGCAAGTCACAGTCTTTCCCTGTGCTGCTGCTTCCTCCAAAAGGTAGCATAAGCTCAGGCCCAGGATGGAGCCCCCTGCCTGCCTCTTCAGAACCTCATCATTCTCTTTAGGATCATTTTGGTTGCAAGTGGAAGACTCAGATGAACTTAAGCTAAAATAAGGGTTTTATTACAAGGATCTTGGGTGTTTCATGGATCTCAAGGGCAAGGTTGAAGTCAGGCTTTAGGAACGGTCTTACCACAGGGTTGGGGTTAACTGGGATGGTCTCTCGAAGCTCCCAAATTACAGCCTTGGGGAAGGGGCTAAAAGTCAGTTTGGACCAAGCATGCATGTGCTTGTAACTGTGTGAATGGCAGGGCAGTTAGCTCTCACAGTAAGGGGCTGTGCTATGTATGGGTCATACATTTTCCGGTGTGATTATGGGCCTTGTAGATATGTCAACTGTGTTGACAGTGACAAAAGTGTATCTTTTTGTCCCTGGGTTTGTGGCTTGCAGCTCTAGAGAAGCTGGGACCTTCATCTTGCTATATCTGCCCCAAGGGGAAGCATTCAGAGTTGGTCACTCCCAGTTTTTGTTTTCTGAAATAGTCTGTTACCCAGGCTGGCACTGAACTTAAATCCTACCTCAGTCTCCTGAGTGCTGGATTACAGGTGTGCCACCACAGCAGGCTAAGGCTGGGCGTGGAACCCAAGAGAAGCAGCAATTGGCTCCTGTCCAGAGTCTCTTAGATGTGATGTAGGGAGTGACATTCACACTGGAGGCCACAGGTGTCCTGTCAGTATGGACAGGGCCAGAGGGGAACTACTAAGAGGTACTGAGGGAGGACAGGGTGGGTTGCTGGGCCTACACATCCCAATTACAGGTTCTAACACGGAGAGTCTTTGGAGACAGGCAGGTGGATCTCTGTGAGCTTCTGGCTGGTTCAATCTACATAGGAAAGTTCCAGTCATCCAGTGCTATATAGTGACTCAAAAACAAACAAACAAACAAAAAACAGGTTTGGAGGAGGCAATGGAGAACAAGTGGGAGCTGTAAGCAGGGGTGTGAGCTGTCCTGGGCAGATTAGTAGTTTGGAAGAATCTTGTGGGTAAGCAAGTAAACTGAATAGCTGGGAAGAAAATTGCTTTGACCAAGGAGTCTGGAAATCTGGGGGGGTGGGGGGGGGCGGGCTGAGTGCTTGGGAATTACTGAGCATTCAGGGAGGAGTGAGGGGCCTTTTGAGGCTTCAGGCCTCACCATGGCTGACCAGCTGTTATTCCCAGCATGATGCCTTTTGCTTAGGCCCCTCTCTCTGCTTAAGAGGGATTTCTGAATACTGGGGACTCTTGGAGACTTCAAGCCTTTGCTGGAAACAGGCCTCTCTTCCTAGCATGGCTAAGCTATTCCACCTCCCTCGAGCCTATGGCTCTGGCATGATCTGACCCTTGTGCCGCGAAAAGAAGGCAAAGGCCGCCTGGCCATGGCGATTACAGTCCTCGCTATTAGTTCCGTTCATCCCTTACTTGTCCTGTCCTCCCCTTTGGCTCTCGACCCAACCCCACGGCAGGGACAGAGGTGGCAGACGCCAAAGTTGCTATGTCTGCTTTATTGAGCAGAGTCCCGGAGCTGGGGGCCGCGCCGGGCGCTCAGGGCCGCTGGCGAGGGCAGCGGCGCCGCTTGCGCGGCTGCTCCTCACGGGGGTCGCCTTGACAGCCAGCCTCGCGCTGGGTCAGCAAGTGCACTTGCAGCGGCTGCCAGCCCTTGGCCCCGCCCGCCGCACTGGCTCCGCCCTCCGGGCCGTCCGCCGCCCGCCGCCCCGCCTCCTGCAGCCGTGCGTCCTGCTGCAGCAACAGCACCAGGATCCTCTTCATCTCCCTCGGGCGCCTGTCCAAGCCGTCGCCCGCCCAGCGCAGCATGGGCGCCACCACAGGGGAGCACATCGGAGCGCCGAGCGCGTCCTCAGCCGGCCTCCCAGGCCGCGCGTACGGGCACGCCGCTGCCTCGGCCGGCTGCTGCTGCTTGTCCAGGGGGAAAAGCAGCTTGATCTTGGTCTAGGGGTGGGCGGGGTCGAGAAGGGAAGAGCGTGTCCTCGGCCAAGGACAGGGCCGGTGACCGCCCCGCCCCCGGCTCCTCCCAGGCTCCACTGGCCATCACAGCCCTTCCCACTGCTCCCCAAGACCCTGCCTAGGCCAACCCATTACGATGGGACCCACTGCGTACTTTCCCAGGGGGCCTGTCCTTGCTGGCCTGATTGGGTGCTTTGGTCCTCTTGTGGGAACTGCTGTTTCCCATGGTAGGACAGGTCACTAGAGGCCACTGCCCATGCTGCTCCTGCCCTGCTCTCTGACCAGGAATCCTGGTCTGATCCCGCCCACCCAGGGGTTGCTGCATTGTGAGCTCATAGGTGACACCACCACTCCTGGCTCTGCTAGTCCCCAGGAACTCCCATGAAAATCTGGCCTCTGCTGACATCTGTGACCTCTCCTGGTCTCAGCTTCCCAGCTGTGAAACAGGGCTAATTATTTAATGAAACATTTTATAAGGTGCTCAGGGGGAACAGACAGGAATTTCTGTGGCCTGGGTTTGAATTCTGGCTCTGATACTAATTAGCTGTGTAACCTTGGCCAAGGTAATCAACTTCCTTAGGTAGGCCTCAGTCTTCTCAACTGCAAAGTAGATGATCCCTACAAACTGTTACAAGGGTTTACGGGATTCTTGAGAGGAGTCTGGCATAGGGTTAGGTGGTTCTCTCAACCTGGTTCTTTGGTTGTAGACAGAAAGTTGATCAGTCATACCTTCAAAAGAGAATTATTCAAAAGATGGCATGGAAACAGAGAACACTGGCTTGAGAGTGCCAGAACCTGATCTCTACTCCCTTTTTTATAAGGCTGGTTCAAAAGGTAGTGGAGCACGTCTTTAATGCCAGCACTCCTGAGGCAGAGGCAGAGGCAGGCAGAGTTCTGTGAGTTCAAGGCCAGCCTGGTCTACAGTGAGTTCTGGGCCAGCCAGGGCTACATAGTAAGACTGTCTCAAACAAACAAAACTCACCACGAAAGATTCTATCTTGTGGCTGAGCTGAGGCAGATTATGGGCAAGAGATGAAGCCCTTGATGTTGCCTTGGAGCCTCTTGTAGTGTGGGCACCTGGACTGTGGCTCCCCAGGACTCCTAAATTGTGGGTATGTGAGGGGTTCTCACATCTGTGACTGTCAGGTGTGTAACTGGGAAGATTCCTAATAGTATGTTTGACAACAGTAATCATGTCAGTTTTGGACTGAGACCTTATATTTGCAGGCCTGAGTCCTATGTAGAAGTTAACTGAGGGGAACCTTCAACAACTTTGTGTGATGGGTATT